GCTTTAGGGTTTAGGGCTTAGGGCTTAGGGTTTAGGGCTTAGGGTTTAGGGTTTAGGGTTTAGGGATTAGGGCTTCGGGATTAGGGTTTAGGGCTTAAGGCTTAGGGTTTAAGGTATCGGGGTGTTTCGGGTAAGGGATTGCGCTTAGACACGGGTTAGGCGCTTAGGCGTTAACTGTGAAAGTGTAACAAGCAAACAACCTTTCAGACGAATGAATGCAATAATCATGGCAACGATAAAAGCCAAAATATTTGGAAGAAGGGAAGAACCAGTACTTGTAAATAAATCACCCTGAACCCTAAACCCCAGACCCCTAAACCCTAAACCCTAAACCCGAAACCCTAAACCCTAAACCCTAATAATAAACCTTAAGCCCTTTGCTAATAGCAGGCTCGGGGCATGGCCACGATGGCACGGAAGGGATTCCACCAACCTCGTCGCGCAGCGGGCACTCGCAGCCTTGGATTGTTTTTTGGCAGTTTTTGGTGCAAGGGTTTAGAGTTTAGGGTTTAGGGTTTCGGGTTTAGGGTTTAGGGTTTAAGGTTTAGGGTTTTTTGGTGCAAGGGACGATGCACCGAGGCGTGCGGGTAAGTAACCTGGGTTTTAGTGTTTAGGGTTTGGGGTTTAGGGTTTGGGGTTTAGGGTTTAGGGTTTGGGGTTTGGGGTTTAGGGTTTAGGGTGCACATTCGGGGCGCCACAAAATGTGGCGGGGGGCACGTGGGGAGTTGGCAAGTAAGAGATCCTGTGACAGCTACACCGATACTCCCATCCGAGCTCCCAGAAACGCTGCCAGGTCCGTGATGAGGATGAAGGAGTAGTAGTGCGCCACAGTGATATTCCTGGATAGCAACTCGGTTCCATGGCACCGAGACGCAACTACAGGGTTGTAAGGCGTGCTGCAGGCTTGCCTGATGACGTCAGCCGCGCACCTGAAACACCTTTAGACGCGCACCGCAGCGGGGGCTGCGTCCTGGAGTCGGATCGACCACTGCAAGACACTCCGATTCTGCTCCGGCGTGGGAAAGAGCCCCTGAAGCCCCTAAAAAACTGAAGCTCAACCTCAAGTCCCGAAACACCAAACCCTGTACCGGCGCTCTAGGCCCCGAGCAAATTGCCGTCACAGCTGCCACAGGTTCGCGTAGTCCCGCCAATACAGGGCCACCCACATGGCGATGTCGATGATGACTGCCACGACCTTCTCCCACTTTCATCACTCGCTTTCATCCCTGTTCAAGGAACTTTCATCACTTTCAAAGGAACCCTAAAGCCTCAATTCAGGGCTTTTGATTTGAGGAGGCCCTGGGGTGGGTTAGCTTTGGTGTGCTTGGGTGCTTTCAGAGTCGGGCCCGGTCCCCTCTGATAGTTAGGTAGTACAGGAGCCCAAATAACTGCCCCAAATGCTGCCCTCATAGTATAGCCAGGGCAGGCATATAAATGAAAGTACGTACCCAAAATACCCCTTTCGATTGACCCATGCTTGCTACCGTGGCTGTTTTCATGCCATCTACTCACACCGCGTCTGTCCTTGTCCAGGAAATGAAAAGGCAGACCCTGAACCCTAAACCCTCCGTGCGCAAGCTCTGGACCCCACTTACTACGCAGGTTATACCTCAACCCTAAACCCTTCACCTGCAGTAACCTCTAGAACCCTACACCCTGAATAAGCCCGAAACCCTTACAAAGCCGCAAAAACAACCTTTAATCTCTTAAACCCCTCTAGCCCCTACAAGGCTCTGCCGAGGAGAAGTCCAACTTGGAGCACTCAAAACCCAAGCCCCGGGCCTTCATAGCGACCTACTTACTGCAGTTCCCTGAGGCTGATACACCCTAAGCCCCTAGACCCCGAAATTCCTAAACCCGAAACCCTTCACCCCGAAACCCTAAACCTAAGAACCCCTAAACCCCAACCCCTCAACCCCTAAACCCCCTAACCCGTGGACTCCCAAACCCCTTCAACCCCTAACCGCCCAAACCCATGTCCTAAACCCTAAACCCTAAACCCTAAACCCTAAACCCTAAACCCTAAACCCTAAACCCTAAACCCTAAACCCCTAAACCCTAAACCCTAAACCCTAAAGCCTTACAGCTCCCTGCGTGGCACGGGACCAAGTCTCTTCCTCCAAAGGGTGGGCCTGCGACGCCTTCGAGGGCCTCCTGGGGGTTTAGGGTTTAGGGTTTTGGGTTTAGGGTTTAGGGTTTAGGGTTTAGGGTTTAGGGTTTGGGGTTTGGGGTTTAGGGTTTAGGGTTTAGGGTTTAGGGTTTGGGGTTTGGGGTTTAGGGTTTAGGGTTTAGGGTTTAGGGTTTAGGGTTTAGGGTTTGGGGTTGCGGTTTAGGGCTTAGGGCTTAGGGTTTGGGGTTTAGGGGGTTGTCGGGGCTTAGGAGTAGGGGAGTGGGGTTTAGGGGATCTAGGGATTCAGGGGAGAGCGGTGCGTTTCTCCTCGGGCACGTCGGGGGCCGAGGCGCTTGGCGCCCAAGGTGCACGCCGGCGGCACACCAGCAT